CTTTTTATGCCATCCTGCAATATGTACCTATTCGAAAAGCTCGGTCGTTGACCCGTAAGATAAACGTCCGCGCGCATCCATACGGCTGGCGTTATGCGTAAAAACACAACAACAATTTTACAAATGTGATGCTAAATTTAATTAAACATGTTGTTGTTTACATTTTTTTTTAGGTAAACGTAATCCTGATCATGTACTATATCACCTGTTAAAATATTGTGCACTATTTTTGTTAGACCTTATATAGTAGAAAGATAATTCAGTAGATCAATAAATTGGAAAATACTTAAGCTATTACAAAATACACTTAACTATTCCAATTTTCATTGGGTTAAAAATTAATGTTATTGGCACATATTAATAGGCGTTGTATTTCGCCGTGTAAGGGAGGTTCAATTCCTTTTCTTCTTCTCAATCCCCAAATCCTCAAATTGCTAAATCCAAAACGCTGGTAATGCATATTTTTTAACCGACAAATACGTTTTACACTTAGGAGAAGGTTTCAGAAATTATTAAATTGACGACTGCAAAAAAAGAGGGGGTTGAAGTCGTTGTTTTAAACGTAGTTTATGAAAGAACTAGCTACTTGCGCGCGGTTTCACTCGCTTTGATCTGCTCCTATCGGTCGCAGCGAGATGTTTTATAGCTTATAGCCTTTCTTGATAAATGGACTATCCAACACAAAAACACAGAATTATTCAATTCGAATTAGTAGTTTCGGAGATTAGCGCGGTCAAAGAAACAAACAAAAAATCATACTCTTCAACTTTATAATATTAAGTAGTATACCTCTAGATTATAACTCCTTTAGTGTTGTGGATGTCCGATTCGAGTCCATCCGAGGCGCGCCGATTGCTTACCATCAGGTGATCCGTCTGCTTGTTTGCCTACCTTTCTCATAAAAAAGACACTCATAAGAGTAAAGTAATAAACAAAACAAGTGACTACAAACACCCATATTGTTGTGGTGGTCTGGAGGTTTAAAACGCCCGCTTCTCATGCATAAGAGTGCGGGCTCGATACCTACCAACAGCAAGTACCAATGTGACTTTTTCCGAGTTATATATACTTTCTAAGATTATTCAGACACCACTGAGAAACGGTGAAGGAAGACATCGTAAGGAAACCTGGACTTATGATTCCTAATTATAAATTTGAAATTGCCAACTCGCATTGAGCATGGTGAGTTATTCACCTTATCCGTGCGAGAAAGGAGAAGGAACGGGGTGGTTTTTAGTCAGTAAAAGTCTGACAATACCTCCCGCCTCACTCAGGCGGAAGCAGTGATTCGATGATTTTCCTCCCTTAAAAAAAATCCTTGCGAGAAGAGGCCTTTGGTAATCAGTGGCCACTTATATTGTTGACGATGACGACAACGTTCATATTCAATTCCTGTGATACCATTATAACTTATTTAGACTCCATCCAACCTTTGCGAAACATTTTTACCTGACCTCGATCATCATTACTCGTAATAAAATACTATTTCAAATTGATCCCAGTAAAAAATCTTAAAAGTTAATTAATTGCAATACACTCTGCCTTTCGACCGTTATTACATAACTTAAGACATGTTTATAAAAACGGGGTCAGCAGAGTCGAAGGATTCTGCAATCATTACGCATCTCTGCTGAGCCAAAACTGGTATTATGTGTTTAAATTTTTTAATGTAGATGTGGGTTAACTTGATGTTAAGTGGGTGTTAGTGCTACTGTCGAACGAGAGGTGGTTTTTTCGATATTCGGTTGGGTATTCTCTTGGGTATACGAGTGTACGAGAGAGTTGAGTGCCCATCGCGCAATTGTACACACGGGTGTACGAGAAACGCGCACCGATTGGATATTTTTTCTGTGACGTATATTTTCAAGTTTGCAACCCGTTCTTTATTTGATTGAACAGAATAGTTAATTCGCTTTTCTACTAAATATTTACCTGTGTGTACGAGAGGCGCGCGAGAAGTTAAGGCTTTTTGGGATTTTGGTAATTTTAGGGGTATGTCAGTTTTTGTTTGTGGATTGTGCATTAACAATAAATAAGATGAGGTATAATAGAATTATCTAGTCATATCTATCTGCTCATGACTTGAAACTATTCGAGTTCCTCGTCTAACAGATACGTTAGTAAGCTGAAACAATAATAATGAACTATCTAGTGTTTTTTTTTCACAGTCCTATAAATTTAATCTTCGAGAAATAAATACTTGGTCTCCAAAATATAAAGGTTATAAAACTGGTTATCCATCCATAAACCAGCCTCAGTGAGCGTAGCTTAACCTTAACGAAATAAAAATAACCTACAGAATCTGCACGGACATCTTAAAATGTCTGCATTTCAACTTTTTCTTACGAACCAAAGCCTTGTGGTGACGGCAGGGTAGAACACAATAGTCACCACCCCTGCTCCCTACTCTTCCCGCGGATGTCATATACCCGACTAAAGGACAACACATTTGACAGAGTCTGGATAGCAGCGCTCTCTGATAAACCTGAACCTTTTATACCGCGATCTTCTAACCTTCTTACCAAGTATTGTAAAGTAAGAATTGCATACCTTTTTTATGAAGTCTACCAGTAGACTGTCACCGGCTGTTGAGCATAAGCTACAAAGACAGTGGCGCCATCTAGATCACCAATGAATGAAGTATCGACACTGAGTACACGTACGCCTTTCTGCGCTCACAAGGTCAGCAGCTAAAGGACACTGGTCTTTCTTCGTCATTATTTATGAATAGCAGCCTGTTCATATTTTGGTATAAGCAGATGGCAAGCTCAATGTTAATTGGTCTGGGATACGTACTGGTGTATTTTTAAATGAATTACTTATCCCTTTCAGTCTCAGTGATCCAAAGTGAATGTTTGCCTGATTTCTTTGTTTCTCGCGATTCTTGGCTATCTTGTTATCATTTACTAGCGATGCTCGGTGCTCCTTCAAATACGATTTCATTAGGTACGTCTTTCTACTTTGTACAGATATCTTAATGGGGTAGATGCCTAATTTTTATTTTAATGTCCGTCTGGTAGATTATTTTAAAAACAATAGACACGTATTTTTTATTTTCTCACAGAAACGGATACTTTCGACGATATATTGATTTGAAATGTCGCGTGACGTCACTTCTATGTACATTTTATACGTAGAAATGACGTTTTAGCCCCCACTCCCCTAAACTTTGATTCGTTTTATCTAAGTATTGTTTTATTATACGACAAAATAAAAAAATACGTATCTAATATTTTTTCATTACCTAACTTACGGACTAATTAGATTTTTAATTTTCGTACCCTGTCATCATCCTTATTTGGTATTGTTAAAAACAACTACTGGGGTTACGAGTACAATTAGGAAAGACAAGTAACTATCGTAAGATATATTATGCAGTATGCAAAGCTTCAAAAGGTATAAGATGTTAAAGTACTATCAACCTGTTAACATTTTGGCATACACTGAAGGCTAACTGAACAGCAATTTGTCTCAACTGTTACGTAACATAATGTCAGATGTTCATCGTATATCAGTCAGTAGCCATTTATTACTGTACATCACTTATCTGACATTTCGGAATGACGACATCTTTATTTTTTAAATTATACTGTTTTTTATTGATGAGATACGCTTATTTATTGACTGCGTCAATGGTCTAGCGATCGCAAGTGCGACTGCCGGGCAAGAGGTCTCGGGTTCGATTCTCGAGTCGAGTAAAGTATTAGTGGGTTTTTTGAAAAAATCTCAGTAGTAGCACGGAATCTGGATTTGTGCCCGAAATATGGCAAATTTTTTTTAAGGGGGGAAAATCGCATGACTGCTCCCGCCTGGGTGAAGCGGGAGAGAGTGTCAGACTCTTATTGACTAAAAACCACCCCGTTCCTTCTCCTGCACGTCGAGCCGGAGCCCCGGTTACCCGTTAGGTTCTCCACGACGGTTAGGTTCTCCGCGACTTAGGTTCTCCGCGACTATCCGAAATATGGCAATAGGCTCACCCCCTATTACATGGGACTTGTAACATAAATAATGTGAAAAGTAGGTATTATATATTAGGTAGGTATTATATCATTAGACATTTTAGTCAAGTAGGTCTAAATATCAGATTATATTTTGAGTCGAATTTAAAGTAGATATCTCTACTTCGTTTTTTAATCGATCGTAAATGTTCGTGGAACGAGTTGTTTGGGGTTCAAATTCCGAAAATTTATGAGCAGTAGTATTGTATGTTTTTTTTTGATTAATCGTAATTTAAATTAGGTATTCTGGTATGGTGCCTGGGTCAATGGAATCATAATCAAAATTATCAAAAAACTAAAAAACAACCAACCCCTTTTACGAATTCAATTTTCAAAAATGACCATAAATTCTGTCTACGTCTGGGGTCACCGTGTACAAGCGGGCCCACCGGAGTAAAACAATAGGGGGATATGACGTCACATCCTGCACAACCAGACTGCGCCGCCGCACGATTTCGGTAAGGAAATTGACTCGGGTTCGAATTTCAAAACGTGAGGTTCGGAATTTAGATCGCCGTTGTGCTTTTGTTTGTTTGTTAATGGAATGCGTGTAACGGTTTTTTTTCGAATAAAGAAGCTTTTTGTTTTTTTAATTGGGGTCGATAAGGTCCTAAGAGAACTTGCGACTCGTCTATTGTTAAGCAGAATCGGCCTGAATAATGGTGTCCAGTAAATACATGGCAGACTAGGGGTCACCTTTAATACGATGCAGTTTGAAAGATTATAATTATGAAAATTGGATTTATTATAACTGAAGAATAGAACCCAGTTTTTTTTTTTATTCTCAGTAGTAGCACGGAGTCTGGAATTGTGCCCGGTATATGGCAATAGGCTCACCCCCTAGTACATGGGACTCATAACATAAATAGTGAAAAGTGGGTGTTACATTGCACAGTGGCATAATGTGCACCTCTGCCTACCCTTTCGGGGACAAAACGCGTGATATTATGTTTTATCTAATAAAACAGAAATCCCAGCTTGCCACTTCTTACCACTGAACTAACGAAGACACATGCAATTTTGTCTTTACTTTCCTAAACAAAACTTTCTTTGTTTCCAGGAGGATGGTACAGTGGAATACTTCAACAACATCATTGTCCAGCCCCATCTCCGCCTGGTGACGGGCCAGGGTCGAGGGTACCACGTCGCCTGCCGATATAGGCGCCGAGATCTCACACACTTCCATCTTTACAGACCAAGAGCTGATCGGTTGACTAATTCTCTAGCAGATGATTTTAGTACTGATCATAGGTACGTATTTATTGTCACCAAAAAGGGACTCGATAGCGTTTTGTATTACATACAATAATTTATTTAAAAATAAGCGTGGGAGAGTCATGCTTCGGCACGAATGGGCCGGCTCGACCGAAGTGATACCACGACCTCACAGAAAACCGACGTGAAACAACGCTTGCGTTGTGTTTCGGCGTGTGAGTGAGGTTACCGGAGGCACAATTACCTCCGACCCTAGTCCCCGTCTCCCAAATCCCCGAATCCTCCACATCCTCAAATACCCAATTCCCAAAAGGCCAGTAACGCACTTGTAACGCCTTGGTGTTTCGAGTGTCCATGGGCGGCGCCGATTGCTTACCATCAGGTGATCCGTCTGCTTGTTTACCGGCTTATGTTATAAAAAGATATATATAGTTTTTCGAGATTTGCGAATGGAATTGTAGCATTTAATAAAACCATAGTTTCTATTAGCACAGAAATGTTAATCACATAATCAAACCTTCCTTTCAAGTTATCCTCAAAACGTGTAAACATTGAATAACTTGTTATACCTATGCAAATAGTATAATCCAAATGTTTATCAATGGTGGCTTTAATGTTCCAGCAATGAATTCGACGAGGACTCCGGTCTACTGCCCTCAGTATCTATGAAGATCTATAAGGGAGACCCCGAAGATGAACAAGTAAGAACTTTTTCTCTTTTTTATTACAAAGACTATTTCTATCAATAATTAAATATTTTTTTATAACGATACCCTTGTGTATTGATCCTTCAATCATTGATATTCATAAGGATAAAATGACTGAAAGTAGGGTTTAGATTTCATTTATAATTTTAATAAAATTGACGCAAAAGATTGCTGATTGTAGCACTACAGTATGCTGCTTTCTACCACTTACTTTGAAAATAATGAAAGACAAAACCAGATGAAGATAGTCACACTTACCGCAAGGACACTATGTTCTTACTTTTTTTTAAACACTTAGTCTCTTTTCGGAGATTTTCTTAGAGCCTTCTAATTGACTTTCTTGACTGCACGATTGGTGCGGTGGCTGGGCAACCGGCTGCCGTGCAACGTGTCGCGGGTTCGATTGCCGCACGGAACAATACTTTGTGTGATCCACAAATTGTTGTTTCGGGTCTGGGTGTCATGTGTAAACGCACCCACGACACAGGAGATAATCCTAGTGTGGGGCAAAGATTACCAAAAAATTTTTTGTTTGTTTTCTTACTGCTTCGCGGCAATCTGTTGTGGGCAACAATAAGCCACTGTCTTGTCTGATATTCAATATCTGCCTGCTTACAGTTTATAGCTTGGAGAGACACTTCTCAGTTTGATGTCTCATTCCATCCTGGTAAATCTATTTTGTAAGGTTGAAACACTGTGTCTTTTCAGTCTTTTATACTGAAAGCTTTGATCTCCACTCAGTCTGTGGGCAAGCTTATTTTTATGTTTTGATAGTCTTTTCTGGTAAGCGTGACTATATTTTGCAAACTCCTGTTTGACAGTTGGTAGTTTTAAGTCAAGATATATGATCTTATTACTAATGTACGAAGGGATGTTAGAAATTACTCTCAGTGTTTTAGTTTGGAATCTTTCCAGTATTTCAATGTTACTATTGCTGGCTGCACCCCACAGCTGGATGCCGTAAGTCCATATTGGTTTCAGGGTGGTTTTATAATCTATAGTCAGCTTGCTATGTGTAGTCGTTTGCGAATGGCGTCCTATTAGCCAATACATGTTTCTGCCTTCTAACAAAAATTCTTTATTTCCTCTCATTCCAGGTGGCGTCAAACGTTCGTATTGGAGATATCCTGAGCCTGGTGGTGTCGCTGGAGAAGCAGCGTCAGTTCGGTCTGCTGGTCTCCGAGTGTTCCGTGAGAGATGGACTGGGTTGGGCAGAGCAGAGTCTCATTGCTGATGATGGGTGAGAATTGGACTATTACACACTTCATTTCTCTTCTCTTGCTCCACTCTCCTCTCTTCTGTGTTCCTTTCCTTCTTCTGTTTCTACTCTCCCTAAAGAGAGTAAGCTATTGTACCTATAACCCTACATCATGTATTGTTTTTGATACTTAATTATACCTAACTTTACCTATACTTCTTAAAAAAAATGTATTAATTAGAACAAGGCTGCCGATAAGTACCAAACAAATACTCTTATAGATTTTGTCGTTTTGGATGTGCTGACTGACAATTTCAGGACGATTTTACAGACTTGTCTAAACATGCAATACCTACATTCGATCATCAACACCACAGATCAAAAAACTACCAATAAATAACAAATTGTTCTCAACCATTCCAGGTGTCCCCTAGACGGTGAGATAATGGGCCAGTTCCAGTACTCTACCGACCGACAGACGGCCAAGGTCTCGTTCCCTGCTCACAAGTTCCCCTACACCGCCAGCGTGTACTACACCTGTGAAGTCAAACTGTGTGACCTCAAACATCCTACCGATTGCGTAAGTATAAGATAGAAGTTTAAAAAATGCGATAGGTTTTTCCTTGAGTATTTGATATCTTGATTTAGAAAGAGTAAGGGCTCGTACACAAACTGCGATGCGATGCGAGTTCGCAACGATGTGAATTGTTGCGATGCGCTTTCGTGAGACAAAGGCTTACCATTTCTTCGGCGACCGTCAACCGTATTCAACGTATTTTAAATTGAAAACTAGGTCGTGACATGGATCGTAGAAAGAAGTGTGCACTTCTGTTATTGTTTAGGAGATACAGGAAAAAGAAACATAGAAGGTTTTGGGAAGATAAGATTTTGATGCGCGATGCGAATCAATTCGCAAGTTCTTGCGATGCGTAGAAGGAGCTCGCACATTTATGCGATGCGACGCCGCATCGCAGTTTCGTGTACGAGCCCTAAAACTTTTAGTTTTTGCTATATAATGATAGGAATAAATCGTCTCAAAAGATTCCCTAGTCGACGAGACTTAATTAAGTTAATGACTACGGTTTCAAAATTGACGTCAATTGCAGTTAAGATACCTTACGAATTACAACGATTTAAACTAATTAGAAAAAAAAAACTGCTGGACTCTGTAGCTCCGACATAATTGTCCGGCTCAGTAATTTAAAAGACGAATCAAATATGGCTGACGGTTAACAACTGAAGACAATGTAAGATATTCATCATGCCAACAACTGCTCATGTCAGTCGTTTGAACTATAAATTGCCTTTACATAAGAGGGTTTCCTATCATCTTTTGGTAAACTTATTAGAGTTAGAGATCACAGTTTATTATTAAAGCACTGTTGCCCAGAAGCTGCCAAAGTAGTCCCTTAACCGGCTCTTATGACATCAGCAGAAATAGTGGAAACAAACGAGTTCTCCATATCACATCAACAGCCTATACCTAAGTGGCCACTGCTGATCAAAGGCCTCTTCTCACACGGATAAGGTTTTAAGCATTCGTCACCACGCTTGCTCAATGCGGATTGGCGAATTTAAACTTGTATATTAGAAATTATAAGCCCAGGTTTCCTCACGATGTTTTCCTTCACCGTTTGTCAGTGGTGTCTAAAATAAGTTTAGAAAGTACATATAACTCGGAAAAAGTCACATTGGTACTTGCCGTTGTTAGATTTCAAACTCGCGCCCTCATGCATTAGAAGCGGGCGTCTTAAACCTCCGGGCCACCACGACATCACATCTAAATATTTACCTTATTTTCACAGGAGCCGTGCGCCCACAAGCGCCGCGTGCGCCGTGACGACGAAGGGTCACCAGCCACTGTGGAGCTGTTCAAGGGCCTGTATGTAAACGAAGCCGACTCCCCGGATAATGACGAAGTTACTAGTGAGAAGGTTAGTCTTATTTAATTTAATATTAAGCCTAATTTACTCGGAGAGACCAATGTTACTATATTCTATCTAAGTATTTTTAATTTTGATTAAATCCTTTTTAAACGCCAGCAACAATCTTAACTCCTCTGATGTTGTGGTTGGCACTGGTCACTTAACATCAGACAATCTACTTACTTCATCATCAGCCCGGGTTCGTCCACTGCTGGGCATAGGCCTCTCCAATGGCACGCCACGGAACTCGGTCTTCAGCTCTTCTCATCCAAACACTGCCAGCCACCTTGGGCATATCGTCACTCCACCTAGCTGGAGGGCGCCCTACATTACGTTTGCTTAGACGCGGTCTCCATTCCTGAAGACGTTGATCCCTGCGGACTTCCACAAACGTGACCGGCCCACTGTCACTTCAGCTTACTAATCCTTTGGGTTATGTTTATAACTTTGGTTCTCAGTCGGATCACTTCGTTTCGAATTCAAACCTTTCAAGAGACTCCGAGCATAGCCCTCTCCATAGCTCGGTTACTTGTTCGTTCTGTATCTTATAGTAAATAAAAAGAATGGATCCTTTACCATTCTTTCCGAGAATCTTATAGCTATAACGGTTAAAATGCGATTTCTAATCTTAAAAGGTCTAAGGCAGATTCTTTTTTGCATTTACTAAATTGAAGGTTTTAAAGTTATAAACTATATATCAATTTGTATAATGAGTTCATTCTTTTTTATTTTACAGAAGGAAGACGAAATCTGCATATCTCAGCGTAACTTTGCCATCGGAATTTGCATAGCGGGTGTCATTCTAATGATTTGTGTGATAGCCGCGATTGCTTTCATTCTGGCAAGGAGGCGGAACCCGAAGACATACTCTAGGACAGGCAGCTCGTTATACAGTGGTCCTTACACGAACACTGGATACTCACATACCAGTTAAACTTGATTTTGGTACATGTTTTCAATGCAAATGATATAAATACAACACTAAAAAATATTCCCTAGCTCTTGGACTATAAAAAGTTGATTATTTCATAGAAAAATATGAAAATGTCAAATGGTCTCCTGGACTATATGGATGATGGGGACTTTTTTTTCATAGCTCCTAAACTATAGCGTGTATTGTATGTCGTTTTGCAAAGTGCCATCTAAATATTGGACATAATAGTACTTAATATTTTTATATTTTACACATTGATTTCAAAAACAACGAATTTTGTAATTAAATGAGAAATCTAAATTATTTATGAAACCGTTTTTGGTAAGTGTCAATTTCAGTCGCCATTTTGATTTAGAGATTGACATTTTATTTTTTAATAATGTTGCAAATCGAATAATTGGAATCGAAGACATTTTATGTGAGTGAAAAAAATTATTAAAAATATTGAATAGTTGTGTTTCTTATCACAACAATTGAGTCATATTTTTAGTATTTAGTTTTTTAGTTTATGTAATTTTTTACCACGTGTATTAAATTTACCATTACAATAAAATAGAAAGGAGTGCATCTGTGTCAGAATTAAATAATGAAATAAGTATATTAAAATAACAAATATCACATTTATACACTCCGAGAAACGTAGAAATATGTAAAAATAATGTGATTATGTGGTTTTTAAATGAGCTAATGATAAATGTTTTTTTTAATATTACAATATTTAAGAAAATATTCAAAACTCATTTAGAAACAACATTTTCTCAAATATTTATAATAATGATAAAATTTTGTGATAATTCATTTGTTCGTATACGTCGTGATTCGATATTTTTTTAATTAAACATTTTTATTTTTAAGTATTACACCGGTTGCCTTGCATATTACGTAAATATTTAGAAATAGACGACAATAGTCATTTTTAGGGTGATTTTAAAGGCCTGTATGACTAGATTTTAATTAATTTAAAAGTTCCTTAATTATTAAGTTTAGGGAATTTTATTTTTTTACTTTATTGGAACGTAGCAAGTCATCTTTACCTGTCTTAAAGTTGAGAATGAACACTTACATCCAATTAAACTTGAATGAAATTTTGAAATTTTTCTTAGAAGAAAAATATTTTCGAAAATTCCTTTTTTTACTAATATCTAGTTTAAAACAGGCCTTTTCTATTCTGTTAAGGTGGCGGGAACATGTTTTCTTCTACGCAATTCATAGACAAGTTTTAGTTTTCTGACTTTTTTAGTTACGTAACTAAAAAAACGTATAAAGAGTCGAACTAAAATTAAAATCGACTACAGTAATTGGACAAAATGGATGCCATATTTTTTAAGTTTTTATGTTAAGTTTCCTTTCTGCCAGTAATTCCGTCCAAACGGTGCTATTTTAATTGTTTAAATAATTGGCTTTTTTATGTTGCTTTTTGCTTTTTTCTAGCGTCGTTGTCTATTGAAATTAATAATTTATTTTTACACTGGAGAGTTATAAAAATAGTCAATTACAAATTACGAAGTATTTAGAAAAAAAAATTGAATATCTTTTTATAAATAACCACATTATTATCTAGTAGAAAAAACATTATTTTGAAATAAGTATTCGCTTGCTAAAAGGCATGTTTATGTGTTTGACATTACATTTGTTTTTTTTTTGTAAAAATAAAAAGGTTGTGTACTATTTCAATAGACAATGACTTTTTAAGTTTTATTTTTCTATGTATTTGTAAAGTTACAACGAATTTCGATATACGTTTCATACTACCCCATTGTTCGTATTATTTTTATTTTATTTTTTTACTAATAATAATAATTATTAATATAATGATGTGTAACTAGTTTAATACAATGGGGTTCTGGAACGATACCGAGCGGTAAGACAGTGTACGAATTTTTTTTAACAAATATACTGACTTGATAAGATTTTTTGTTTTATTTTCGACTAGCAGCCCGTCCCGGCTTCGCACGGGGTAGACAATTATTTATTTTTGGAAATTTGGATTGTTGTAGTGACATAACTACAATAGTTGGACATATGCTACCGCGGAGTTTTTTGTAGACATTATAATGTTCTTGAATATTGTACATTATTTTGTTCTATCGCTAATAGTTTCGGCAGCGCATTCGACGAAAGACATATTAAGACCCACTTTTCTACACCTTCGGTTACATTATTCAAATTTTACCAAGGATCCCTAATTTTTTTCAAAATGTAATGTAGCCTATGTCAAATTGGAAGAATTATTTAAATCGGCCCAGTACTTTTTGAGCCTATTCATTACAAACATACAAAAATAGGTACAAATCTCTCCTCTTTATAATATTAGTATAGATAAAAAAGTATGCAAATATTGTTCCTGAGTTCAATCAACCCTGTTAATTTAAGACAGACGGTAAGAGCACACAAAATTGTGCTAGGAAATTAAAATGCACCGAAAATACATTTTACAGTCAGGTAATTCTATTTTCAATAAAAATCATCAATCAATCGTCTTTTTATTTACATTTATTATTTTACATGCACTATTTAAATCATTACGAGTACATACACGAGAGGGCACCACAAGTAGCCACCACTATCGCCATCTGTATGAGGCTGCCCGGACTACATTACAGGTTTATAGCCTTTTTTTAAGGGGGAAAAAATCATCGAATGACTGCTCCCGCCTAGGTGTGGCAGGAGGGACTTACTGACTAAAAACCACCCCGTCCCTTCTCCTGCACGTCGAGCCGGAGCCCCGGTAGCACGTTAGGTTCTCCGCGACAGGTTCATAGGCTAATTTATTATTATGCTACCTATAGCATAATAACTCACTCAACCTATTGAGTGAGTGAAATTAAGACAACACTTAGAGAAAACTCAACGTATATTGAAGTTATTACACACGGAGGAGAAAATACATGGTAAAAGACAGAACTTGCATGGATATAAAGAAGATAAAACCGTTACAGAACAAATTATGAACTAGTGCTGCTGCTCTAACGTGCGCTCGGTTTAATAGATGTCGCGTCATTGAATAGAGCTGCGGCGCGAGCGCGGTAATGTGTCGAGTGTCGAGCTAGAGGTGGGGTGTGCAACGCTACGTTGGTCTTACTAACGCGTGCTATGATGCACTATTTAAATCATCAATGTCTTAATCAAAAACGTGATTATAAATTAAAATATCAGGTTTTGTTGTCAAAAATTGGGAAATCATAATAAAAATACCAAATTATTTGTGTATGTATATATTCGCCAGTCAAACAAATACTCGGTGTATACAATATAATAAAAAATTACGCATAAACGACGTACGAACATTAAATAAATTAATTTCAATATATCTCAGTTTTAAAAGCACATAATTATATTTTACAATTACATAATATACATTACAACTATCGTGAGACACATAAAATTAATTAAATAATATGACTTTAGTAACTCTTCGAGCGTGCTCGACTCATTTCAAGTCACTAGTGGGACTCATAATCAATCTACGTCGAAACTTGTCGAAGCATCCTCGAAAAGTAACTCGAGATGGACATAGTATCGAATTAATTATATTGATATTTTGATGGAAATGGTATCTTTACACGCACACCAGTGGTGATAGAAATTAGGAGACTACGCACACAGTTGTAACTACTGAACTATTAACAAAAGAAAGGTATGTATACTATTTCCAGTACTTATTTTATTGTGCATAGTCCCATGCAAAATGGAACAATGTAATTAGTCCGTCAGTTAAATAATGAAAAAATATTAGACACGTATTTTTTTATTTTGTCGTATAATAAAACAATACTTGGATAAAACGAATCAAAGTTTAGAAGTGGGGGCTAAAACGTCATTTCTACGTATAAAACGTCCATAGAAGTGACGTCACGCGACATTTCAAATCAATATATCGTCGAAAGTATTTGTGTCTGTGAGAAAATAAAGAATACGTGTGTAATGTTTTTAAATAATCTACCAGACGGACATTGGAATAAAAATTAGTCATCTACCCTATTCTAAACTTGGGTACTTAATTGCTGACAATATCGAAATACATAATTTAGGTTGTTCGCGTTACGAATGCAGTGAGTTATCATTGCAGCCTCAAGTTAAAGGTGTATTCACAGTGGTCTGATATTCAAACAAATTATATTTTAAAAGATTGAGTTAATCTATATTCTATACCTTTTTATTGAGGGGGGAAAATCATCCAATGACTTGTCCCGCCCGGGTGAGGTGAGAGGGAGTGTCAGGCTCTTACTGACTAAAGACCACCCCGTTTCTACTCCTGCACTTCGAGCCGGAGCCCCGGCCCGTTAAGTTTTCCGCGGCTCCGTATGCCGATACAGCCCTGTTGGGTCAGCCCTGTTGGGCCCCATCTGTGGTGGTCTGATGGCTATATTCTATACCTATATGTATAAAAATGAAACCCGTTTCCCGTTGTCATGCCATAACTTGAGAACGGCTAGACCGATTTGGCCGATTTTTTTTTAATACAGAAAAAAAGCTGAAAATCCTACGGGAACGGGAGAAAACGGGATTACGCGTACGAAGTCGCGGGCAGAAGCTAGTGAATTTATAGAATAAACGTAAAAGTTTAAAATCAGTTTAGGGGACGGGGCTAGGCTGACGGACAATGATAAATGATTGCATTCTTAACACGAATGAACTATAGTTACCTGAGACCTCGTGCATTAAAGCATATCTACACTAAATTGAAACTTAACAATTACTAAATCGTTCAGTCTTAACGATACTCTATACTTATTATAAACAAGTTCATACTAAAGACATATGGAGTAATTAACTATACAGAATGTTCCGTTAAACGAGTAAAC